TTTATCTTGTAGTTCCATAATTTTTTCATTTTTCTGCTTTGACTCCACCTCCATTAATTTGATTTTGTGCTCAAACTGGCTGTTCAAATATCTGAAACTTGTGTTTTCCTGCTCTAACTTCTTCAAAAGAGATTTCAATTCTGTCAATGCATGATTCTTTAAATTAGATTTTATGCTTTAATCAATGAATGATGCAGTTATGGCTTATAAAATTTTGATTTTGTGCTCAAACTGGCTGTTCAAATATCTGAAACTTGTGTTTTCCTGCTCTAACTTCTTCAAAAGAGATTTCAATTCTGTCAATGTATGATTCTTTAAATTAGATTTTATGCTTTAATCAATGAATGATGCAGTTATGGCTTATAAAATCGCTTGAATATAAAAAGATCTGAATTAAATTATTAAACATGGTTAGACTCAACCTAATTTTAATTTTAAGAGTTGATGCAGTCTTTACCTTCACTTTTACATTAATTTAAAATTTAATTAATTAACATAATTTCTTAAACAAATTTCATTTGAATATCAAAATAAAAGGTGTAGTATTGAGATATTGAAGTATAGTAACATTTTATTCTATGCTTACATGACATAATTATTATACTATTAGTATTATAATTATATTATTAATTATTATTATTACAGATTACTTATTCCAACAACCATGCTCATTCAAAAAAACAATAGACTACACTACATTATAATACGTTTCATTAGTTAATTAATAAATTACCTCTAATTTTCGCATCAGTAGCTTCTTTCATCTGGATGAATTTCTGGTGAAGTTCAACATTTTCCTTCATCAACTTGCCATTCTCAGAGATGATCTTCTCCAGATGCACGTCTGCAATTGATGTGGCGTCGTTGTTGTTGTTGCGGTTGCTGTTGTTTGACGACAACCTACGACGATTTTTCGAATGGGAACAATTACTATTATTGCTATTATTTTCCATTCTATTTTTTATCGTATTTTTAATCATTATTTATTCACTATAAACAAAATTTAACTTTTAGTTTTCTGTAGTTGTTGACATTGTTAACAGAGATGGACAAGTTTGTATTAGAAAATAGTAAAAAATTGCGCTTGAAAATGAGTATAAACATTTTACTTCACGTTTGTCGTGCTGACTTACATTTCGTTTATTTATGTTTTTCCACAATTATTTATTTAAAAAGATATTACTGTTAAAAAACTTAATAAAATTTTAATTACGTTAAATTAAATCGTAAAAAAATGAAATTTCGTTTGAATCAATTCGATATGATAAAGTTTGTTGCGTTTCTAAACTTTCTCGCAATATGTTTCGGGTCGGACACACTGGAGGAGGTCGGAGGTCTGTTCAAGTTGGAGGGTAAAGTCATCAATCAATACACCACCGATGAAAACTGGGTTCAACAGGCGAGAGTGTTAGTGGACGGAGGTGCTTACATTGGGATCATCAAGGCAGACGGATCATTCGCAGTAAATGGCCTCCCATCTGGTTCATACGTAGTTGAAGTTGTCCATCCTTTGTTCGCTTTTGATTCTGTAAGGGTGGAAATCACGTCAAAGGCAAAAGTTAGAGCGCGAATTCTAGATAACATTCAGCCATTTCAGATAAAGAATGTGGTCTCCAACCCTCTGCGTCTCAGGTGCAAGGGGAGGTACCAATATTTTCAGCAGAGGGAGCAGTGGAGGATCAGTGACTTCTTATTCAATCCCATGGTTTGGTTGCTTGTCGTCTTTATGTGTCTTCAAACAAATAATTCAGATAATTTTGTTTGACCATCTAAAATTTTGCCCCTTCTATTATAATTATATTAGAGAAAATAATTGAATTGTACGACTGTGTGTCATAGATTCAAATTATTAGCTTTTATTTCATAGCAGATTTTTATTTTTCCTCCAGGTGTTGATGATGTTCTTACCACTACTGATGATGTTCCTCCTACCTAAGCTGATGAACTCTCAAGATCCTGAAATTCAAAAGGTTGTACTGATCTTATTTTGAATCAGGCTTTTATAAACTTTCCCTTCTTAACTAACTGAATGATTTTTTTTTATTCTCAATCATAAATATAGACTGAACACTCGATAAAATAATTTCTGATATACAATTACATTTTGACTTTAATGCATAATCATAATGTCTTGTATATTTTTCACTCAAGGAAATGCAACAGTCGATGAACTGGATGAATCCGAAATCAAATTTGCCAGAACTTTCAGAACTGATGACCAATTGGTTGGGTGGAGGAAAACCAGCTACTGCCCCCGGGGCAGCCAAAAAGTCAATTAGGGCAAAGATTAAACAAAAATAGGAACTGGTGTGAAATGACCTATATTAATTATTTTATGTATATATTTGTTTGCTTGTATATTTTGTGAAGGTGATTTTTGAACAAATATAATTCATTTTTTAGGTCTGTTCAGATTTTTCCATTTTGTTAGTATTTCACAAAATGTTAAAACGATTAAGATGAGATGTACATTTTTATAACTAAAAGTTCACTGATTTTT